ATCTCTGTTTTGGTGATAGTGTGGCCCTATGTGATGTTGTGATGACTAAAACTGCACCATGAGGGGTTGGAGTCTGTCATAAAGTATGTGCACACATTTCTCCTTGATTTTCAAACTAGGAAGACAGGAATGTATGCTGGCAGGTTCTGCTGTATACTGTTAGAATATGGCAGAAAATGACGGCACTGCTGAATGGTGAATGTGCACTGTGAAATTAGGCAATACTCTCTTCGAAGGGATAAAACCCTCTATTTTTTTCTATATAGAAATCTTTTTATAGATTATTGTGTGTATAATTCTGTGGAAGTAGCATACTTTTTTTTTTTTTTGCAAAGGGGAGCTAAAAAATTGTCTGAATTTTGTGGAAAGGTTATGTAACTGTACTCTTTCTTTAAATAGTACTTTTTATTCATACTGCTTACTTTCTCATCAGTAGGGGAAAAAAAGGAAAAAAAAATCATATTTTCCTAGTACAAAAGGTAATTTCCAAAGGACTGTAATTAGCTCATGAAAACTCTGTCTTTTGTCATATCTCCTCAGCTGAAATGCAAAAAAGGATGGACCTTTTTCTTTGTAAAACAAAAACATAGCATATGAGGTAAGGAAGCCTAAAGGAATCATATGACAATTTATGTCTTAGGTTTACAGAAAATGATATTGCAGCAGTACTGTGGATTCATGATTTCTCTCTCTGATTGCCAACTTTTGGAAAACCTAGAAGTGGCAACTGTCATCTATTTCTTTGCTCATCTCTCCTGAGAGAGAACTTGGAGCCTTATAAAAATGAGGTACAGTTCAAGTGCTAATGGGGAGATAAGAAGGAAGCTATAAAAGCCCTAATACTGCAAGGTGACTCTAGCACAGTCACATATACTTTTGATTTCGGAGGATCAACTGAGTTCACCATTGTTTTTTGGCCCCAAACAGGAGGAAAGGGGTACTAATAGAAAGAAAAAGACTGGCAGGGATTTGGGTAAAAGGAAAGAGATGAATAAGGAGAAAAAAGAAAAGGGATAAATTGATGGCAGTGGATAATAAAGAATGGATCCTGCTGAAAAAGAATGGTCTGGCAGAAAAGATATTTACAAAAATAATTGTGTTAATTTCATTTTGGGTGATGTTTTTGAATTCCGTATTAAAAGATTGTAATTTTTAGCAATAGCCTTAAGTCTTATCCCTTTTGGGAAATACTCAGTGAGGACATGGACTACTCTTCAATTAAACTTAATTCAAAACCTCCTATACTAAATTTATGTAAAACAAAGACAACAAAGAAAAAAAATCATGGGAATAAGAGTAACTAAAATCTTTCCACCCTCTCACGCTCATCTTTCTTATATGTTCTTGTCCTGAAATACTGCCAATAAGTGATTTATTTATAATAATAAACACACGATGCAACCATTTCTGTTGCATCCCTTAGATTATGTCGTGGATGAAGGGAGAAATATCTTCTGAACAAAGGCTCTTCTTTACATAAAGATATAGCTAATCCTAAAATAATAAAAAAATATACTGTAAATAAATTTGGAGCCTATAAATAGAACTCAATTTTAAAGGGCTTACTTAAATAGGCTCCAACCACAAAATAGAAGTTTATTGAAATATGGTTTTAAATAGAAGTTTATTTGAGTAAGCATAAGCCATAAATTTCAAATCCAGATTTAGAACCCCCCAAATTTTAGGACTATTTGGAGATATGGATTTTGTTTCATCCCATTATACTGGAGGTTACTTGTCATTTAGATTAAGGGTCACATTTCATATGCATCCAAAATCTGGAATTTGGTTATCTGCTCTGGTTAAAAAGCTATAACTAAAGAACACACAAGAACCTCTTTATTTCTACCACTTGTATTTTAATCAAGTACTACAAATTTTTTTTGTAGTTGTGTTGTTCTATACTTAACAACCATTTTTAATATGAGTTTTTTCAATAAGAATAAAGACATTGACCATTAAGTTAATGAAAATAGTGAAGGTAGGAAAACTATAAAAAATGCTACAAGGTATTACTAAACATGCATCTAAGCAGATTGAGAATATTGTATGGTTTATTACTTGAGGAGCAATGTGGGATACTGTAACTAAAATCTGTTTCATAATTCAAATACTCAAGAGGATAGACTTATGGTTGCAAATAGTGTACTCAGCATAAATTTAATGGAACTATGCCAGTTCATAGCAGGAGGCTCTCTGCATCTCAGAGGGGTTGACTTAGGCTTCTGAAAAAAATTATCAGTGCAGTGACAGTGTCTCCCACTGCAGTTGGCACTGAGGGCCTCGGTGGCAAAAAGCTGGTGTTGCCCTTGATGAGAGCTGGCTCTGAGAGCAAGCAATGGCCATGTTCTGACAGAAGGGTTGTTTCTGTGAGGCTAGGGAAGAAGAGATAGGCTTTGGTATACTCCGAGGTAGGAAAGGCAAGAAAGATGCTGCTAGATAAGCACGTTTCCAAAGCTGCAGCAGCCCCAGCATTGTTGATTGGCTTGGTTTCTCTGCTGGGAAGATGGGCACAGGGAAGAAACATTGGTGTAAGGAGGGCAAGGTAAATATAGCAGTAGATGATGAAGCCATGTGTGACTAGATGCTTTTTGGTAGGCCTCCTGGCTAAATCTGATGAATCATTATGCTTTGGGGAAGCAGAAGAACTGGCCATGTGAAATGTGGGATCGTGTTCATAGGGAACTGCAAGTGTCTTTCCTGCTGCACTACAGGCCACCACAATAGTAGGTAAAAAGATGCCTCTTAAGAAATGACACCAGGTTGCTTGACATATCTGCTCTTTTGACTCAGTTCTGTTTTGTAGCAGCTAAGTGTGCTACAGGCTCCTTAAGTGAAAGCTCGACTCGGGTGAAGCCCATGAGTTTTTTGTTATGGCCTGCAGCGTAGCAGGGATTTTAGCCATAGGTCAAATCTACTCTGAAAAAGTAAGGTGAAAAAAAAAAAGTCTAGGCCCTCTGGATGGGAAGTGCCTAAAATTCCCTTGCTAAGACTGGGTTATTCTGCCCTTTGAATACTTTGCTTACACCTTTGTAGGTGGCCTGACTACACATGAAAGTTGGAAATTTAAGTGGAGGGGCAGACAATATTAGCAGGTATTTGTTGATTATAATAAAACAGACTAAGGGAAATACAGGGAAATGTCTTAATTTTTCTCAAACTAAATGGCCATCCTTACTGGACTTTTCATAGACTCCTTGACATTTTACTCATATGATCAGTATATAGTCATGTCTGCTTTCAAATCAAGAAGAGTAAAAAGATCTTTTGTTCACCATTGCATTAATTCTTCTTTAACGCCTGCTCAAATGCCTGATTCTTCAGGCTTTAGCATGCTCAGAGATGAGAGACTGCAGGATAAATACTAGCTAATACACTAGAAATAATGCAGTATCCCTGTGGAAGAAGAATTAAGTACTTGATTTTGACTGGTTTGACTAGTGAGGTTGTTAGTAAGAAAAAAAGAAGGGGGGAAAAAAAAAGGAATTGCAGAACTGTAATACAGTGTTTTAGAAATTTTATATACCTTGTTGTGCAGCTTCAGTAGGCTGCTGGAGACCTAACAGGAAGCTCAGTACAATTAGTACAAGGCAGCCAAATCTTTTCGAATAGTGGATAGCCTCTGAGTTTCAGGAATGTCTCTTATGCTTTTGGCAAAGGTTGATGAGTCATATATATTCCTTGTGTGTTCAACATGAGGATCAGACTAAAATTAACCCCATTCTGAGGCAGAAGGTAGGCAACTTGACACTGTGATCCATTATGCTAAAGAGAAATGTTTCTGTCTAAACCCAGAGGTAAACTGCACAGACAAGGAGTCATTGAAATGAATTATGTGGCCAATCTTGTTAGGCCTAGGTCAGAAGCAGAGATATCTCTCTATTTCTGTTCCTCTACCTCCTAAGTACATTTAGCCTTTACACTATTAGACTTCCCTAGGCCCTTTTTCAAAATGTCACCTGCTCCACAAATTCCAGCATTTTGTATTTTTAGATGCTGGGGTCAGGATGAGTGCAAAAATAATGACATTTCTGCCCTTACAAGTAATTCCTTCATTTTATTGCTTGTAGGAATGAGCCGTAATACGGAGTAAAGGAAAACTGCTTAACCATTTTAACCTCTCACAGCCTGAGAGAGAAATTACAAAGAAAATGAGCCTCTTCCTAACCTGATAACCTTCCTTGTACCTAACACCCTCATGAAGAAGTCCCTTCCTGGTGTGCTTTAGAAGCTTACATACATGATGGACAAGGGGGGAAGGTATTGTTAGGCGTTATGTTCCTCTATCCATTCTGGAAAGCATCTTTGCCTGAAAACCAGCTGATCTGATACTCTAATTTCACCAATGACAATTTATTTATTGTTATTTCATTTAGCACTTACTTTTTTTTTTTTTTCCTTCAGAGCTTGTTCTAAGCCTCTCTTTCTGTCTTTGAATTAAGATCCTTTTCTCCCTCTCTGTTCCCCCCTTAATGTACAAGGCTATGTCACTACACCTGAACAAGGAAGTGAAGCTATTTTATGTGGAATCGATTATGACTGACAGACTCCAACATGCCATTTGCAAATGGGAAGATCTGGTTTAAAATTTTTTTCTCCTAAGACAAGTCCTGCTGCTGAGTGCACAGTGATTTCCATTTTAAGTGTGGGGATATTTTCTCAAATTAACAAAAACTTTCAAAAAATAAGTAAAAGACCTTAATACCACATTTTTCACTTAAGGTCCATTATATTCAAGACCTGACCATAAGTATGGATAAAAGCTTCTCAGTGTCCTTGTTGTATTTTAAGGTTTGGACCTGTAACACTGCCTCTTACATACTTCAAGGGAAATGACCCAATTTCCCTTCTGTTAAGTGCAAAGAATTTTGCATGTTCAGAGATAGGAAAAAAGACTGAATGCAACATATTCATGTTTTTTGTTTTTAATTTCTAAGTAATTCTGATCTTCATTGCTTTGTTGTCTCAAAATGGTGTTTTATGTTCTTGCCTTTCACCAGCTGAGATTACTTCCAAATATGAAGAGCGAGACTATCAAAGGGAAAAGACAATCTCACAGAGGTATTCTCAGAAACAGTGTATTAAACTGAATCTTCTGGGAATGCATTTTTAAAAATGGATCCAATTTACCATCAGGCTGCCTTGCGGTGGTTAACCTGGTGTAGTTTTCCTCAGGGGAATACATTCAAGTGTGGTGGTGGAGTAAAGGAAAGCATGTGTTTTTTATTAAGAACTTTTAGCCCTTTACCATTTCTGTAAGGAAACACCACCACAGATGATAACTGAGCAAAGGAAAGATCGTATTTTAAGTAAATTCCTATGCAATCAGTGATGATTTTTCATGCCTTTTCATCACTTTTATTAGTATTTTAAAGGAGCAATAAAGAATATGTAGCTATTAAACCCATAAAACCCTCCACAAACCCTTCAATGCAAAAGAGAAAGAAAAACAATCTCAACCACTCATTATAATTTCAACATTTGTCAAAAACATGATTTAAAAATAGAAAGGAAGCAGAAATTACGTGGTGATCTATATTTAGCATAATCAGGCTTTTGAATGAAGTTTTGAGGCCTGTATTTTCATAATTGTGTGCGTGCAATTGATTGGAATTTTATGGCAGGCAAGCTTTCCTTGAGGGAGGGAGATAGATTACTGAGTCAATATTTCAGGACTCTTTTGTTTTGCTTTGTTTTAATGTTATTGAAAAGTCTGGGTGGCAGCCATGATAGGTGCTTTACAGCTCTCAGATTATTAAAAAATGAGAAATAATTAGGCATAGCTGACAATCAATTGGTTGCACATGGTCAGTACAGGAGAGCAGCAGTTTAAAATATTTGTCTCGTGTGCTTTACATCCACGGAAATACCATATGAAGCTGTACTAATGATCAGGATAATTTACTTGAGAAGAGACTCCTGAATCAAGTTAGTTTGTTTCAGAATTTCAGACCTCCTTTGAATGCTACCTGTGAGGCATTTGGTGAAGTGAAGAGGCAGGGAAAGAAGAATGTTGTGCTTTCTGCTAAATAATAATAAACAATAAAGCAGAAAGTTTTTTCAATACTTAAAGATTTGAAAGGATACTTATCCTGTGCTAAAGACACCCTTAGTGTCTCAACAGCTTTGTGTTACTCTCAAGAATCTATTTGGGAAAAAAACCAAAGAGTGCATCTATATATATCACTACCTACTTCTATCCATGTATAGGTAAGGTTATTCCAGCAGGATGCAGGTGACCCTTAGACCACTAAATGCCTACATACTATATTTTCAGAATTCTGGGAAACACATTAAGAAGTTACAACTTCTGGAAACAATACTCCTCTGTCAGATCTTGTAAAGCAATGCAAACCAGAAAGATTCCGTAAATTTTCAAAGTTTTGTACAGCCATGTTTCTTGAAAAAGGCAACTCCCCTGTTGTCCTTGGCTCTAAGTAAACTTTCTGACTTCTTTTTTGCCATGCCCATGGAATAAAATTAATCTCTCAACTTAATGAGGTATTGTCAGTTAAAATAGTTGAGAGTCCAGAATTTATTTTTTTTTAATTCCTTCTAAATGCTTTACAGAACCAAACACTAATTAAAGTTTATAGATGCACATGTGTATCCATACATACACACATATGCAGATGTGTGCTAAAGGAAGCAGCATTTGATCTCCTAAAATGTCAACTAATTATGTTTTTTTAATATAAAATGAAACCACTTATTATTTGAAATAAAATTGACTTTAAAGATGTTGTGTTTCATTCTTTGGTGTTTCCAGCCCTCTGTGTTTCCTGTAGTGGAGTTGATTTCAGAAGAAGAAAACACGGAAAACAGAAAACATCTAAACTGGACTTCATAAGTCTGAAGTAGCAGTTTTAAGAAAAGAACCCTTATTACCTTGTTTCTCTGTACTCTTATACAAAATAATTTTGTGCCAGACTCAACTCCGGAGAATTGTAGAGTTGTAGAGTCATGATTTCTGCTTTATTCCCATGTTAACTTAGGCTATTCATAATAATACCCACACTATTTAGCTCTTTTCTGAATCCTTAATTGAGGGGTCTGAGAGATCTTAAAAAAAAAAAAAAAAGAAGAAAAAAGAAGAAGAAGAAAAAAAAGGTAAGCATATGTTTTCATGGTTTTAAAGCTATGGAAGCAAAGACAAAATAGAGAAAAATTATTTTCTCTGTGTCACTCATGAGGCCAATGGGACAAAACCCAGATGTGTGAGAACCAATATAACATGCTATCCACTTTCCAGAGACTAAAAAGCATTCTCCCCTATCATGGGATGACATCATAAACACTCTTCCTCAGGCTACTTGTCTACCAAGCATGCACAGGAATGATTTTTCTCTTGTTTATTATCACTCAATCTATTTTTTACCCTGGAACTAAACACAAGAGACCCGTGCTAAATTTCACATCTCAGAATCAGACATTTTTGCAGGAGCTGTGTTATCACCTTTTTTCTTTTTACAATGAGACTACATCCTTCATTTTTCCATTCCTCATAAAACTGACACAAACATTTCCATCAGAATTTCTTTTTAAAAACCTCAGGCACTGTATAGTAATGGAAAATTGAAAATAGCCGTAAGACTGAATGTTTAGAGAAAGCATATCCATGAAACTACTATCTTAAACACAACATGCCTAGACGTGGTTGGTTTTGAAGGCCACTTAGAAAGGCAGTCATATGCATGGCCATGAGCCAAGTCTGGGACACCCTGCACTATTCCCAACAGCCTATGTCTCTGGTGCAGGTGGTTGAGTTTTTCTCCCAGTAACAGAATGTTTCTTCTGGACTTATTTCTTGATTGCTGCCCTGCATGCCATGGTGAAGGACTCACATAAATTAAGAACTGAAAATATATAGGTGAACACCACTTTAAATTTAATGGCCCAGGTGACAGATCACTTGAGAATTAGGCTGAGATGGTAACTGCTATCATTAAACTAGACTTTTGGAGATAAGGATGATCCAGAATGTAAATGCTGACCATAATGAAAAAAACACCCCAAAGTGAAAAAACTCTATTACTGTTACATCTTTCAAAGGTCTATATGGTTTGTTTTGCCAGGTATCTGTGAAATAGAGCAGATATGGCGTGACATCCTGTCAGCAAGCTTTGCTTTGGTCTGTGGAAAGGCAGAACTGGAATTCTGGCATCAGAAAAGCTTTTCCCTTATAGTGGAAGAGCTTGCTTTCTCCTCGTCAGCTCTTGGAACTTCAGGGGTTAGCAGATGACAGAGAGAGTGAGAAGGTTACAAACACTTCACTTGAGTTTCTCTGGCTGTGGAGTAACAGCAGGGGGAATCTGGTCTTGATGTCTTATATCTTTCTTATTTTTTTTCAAAAGAAATTCAGCTCCAGGGGTATCATCACCTGGCTTAGAAATCACTTTGCAGTCATCTGACTTGTTACATTAGGATAGAATTCACTACTCTTACAGCCGTATCCTGCCATGGAGTTTCATGCAACAGTGCCATTGATTTCAATGGGAGTTCTGTGTATGAAACAATGACTGGAAATGCCTGTAGTATTGCACATTCTATCCCATAAAAAACCCCACAAAACAATAGCCAAAGGTCTTCCTAGGCAATAAAGTTATGTCTAGTTTTTTTACTTTTCCCCCCTCCCCCCCTTGCTGGGAAGCTTCCATAGTACGAGATGTAAATTTTGGGGCTGTTAGTTTCTGACTTTGCTTTTCATTGAATGAGAAAAATCTTAAGAATACCCCATAACTTACTCATTCTACAGACAAAGTATCCAGGGAAGAAGCTTTTAATAAAAAAAATGGACACAACTGACACTTGGTCTTGGAAAATTTCTTCTTCTAAAAAAGGAAATTAAACAGTTTTCTTTTATTAAAATCAAACAATGAACCCTAACAACAGGAATAATACTGGCCTTCATCCAAAATTCTGAAGTTAATGCAGAAACTTACATTGACTCCAGTGGGCTTTGGGTCAGACCAGTTTTGAACTTAAGACAAAACATTAGCTTTGTTAGAGAACTGTCCTTCATTTCCATGAAAAACAGTCCTTGTTTCCTTACTATTGCACACCTTCTGTTCGCATAGAGCATACTATTTTATGTTTAATCTTCTTCAGGTGTGACACAATTAGAATAAAAGAAACACCTGAACCTCCATGTATAGCATGTGTGACTATTATCCCGGAGAAAAAAAGAATAGCAAATTTAATGCTTCCTTAGAGGTTTCGTTGCTATATAAAGCTATAATTTTTCTTGCTCTGGGTAGAGGATTTTCCCCTCCCCAACTGTGGGCAGAGATTTCCCTCTCAAAGGTCTTGTAGGATGAAGAAGTGTCTCCATTCAAATGCCCCCTTTTTCTCCCACATAATCTGAAGCCCAAGCCCTTATTTGAGGAACCAAGGTTTGCTTAGACATTTAAGCTATCCAGCACAAACAGGATTCCTAGGAGTGATTTACTGCTCACAAATGTATCAGCAAAGTGCTTATTTACAGATACCAGATTTTTTTCATTAATAAGCCCAGTTATTTAGGAAAGGTTTTCAAAATATTTGTTCCCTTTACAGTGAGTGTGACATTGTGAGATGACAGTTTCCTCCATATAAGCTGAGATAAAGTTACCCCACCCATATAAACCAACAGTAAATGTGACTCCAACAGCCAAAACAACTTTTCTTCTGTAAGGGGAAAGCATCTATATTTTTCTTTTCTAAGGGGAAGGCATCCATATTTTAAGTTTGTATTGCATCCCATCAGATAATATTAGACCTTATAATCTAGTGCAGTACTTACAATACCCATAAATCACTCAATCTGACATAAATGCAGAGAATATTCATTCTTTTCTTTGAGCAGGATGCAATCATGCCTTAATACTGCCTTAAAACCAGTGAGGAGTCATATCCAATAACTATCCCAATTATCTCAGTACAATGTTTTCCACCTGCAAGGAATGATTATGTGTCAGTAACGATGATAAAGCCCTTAAAGAGATGTTGATGCCTCATGGAAAAATTTGAAAGACATATTGTTTAGTGAGACTTCTGCTTGTAGACTGCATCATATATATGTGAGGTATTTCTTTTCCCTATTTTTTATTACTAAGGACATATGCATAAAGAGATACTGTGTGTCAAGGAAATAATCATTATATAGCTAAAGTGAAAATTGGCAATCACGTGTGTTCTATTCTTGTTTTGACAGAGACTTCACAATGACCTTGGCGAAGTTTTGTAACTGTTCTGTGCCCTGCTACAGTGTGGAGACAATGCTTGTATGAGGCTGAGTATTAATTCGTAACAAGATGTTCCATACTGTTGGATGGAATGTGCCAGGAAAGGGTTAGAGCATGTTCTTACCACTTAAACCACAAGTTGTAGTTCTCTTCCTATTGAGCCTAAATGCAGAAATGAACCATCAGTCCATTACTGCTTTAGGTGCTGTAATAAAAGATATACAGAAAAAATTGCAATTTAAGTAGTAAAAATTAAGGAAAAAAGGGACAGAAAAGATAGTAGTGTTGCAAGGAAACAATCTTTGATAAAAGTTACAGAATTTTTTAAATATCAAAATATGGAAAAGAATCTGTATTTCATGTCTTCTTTTTTACCTCTATGTGGGTAGATAGAAATAGAGCTGTCCTAACCCCATTTAGGCTCCAATCTGACTGAGCTGTTAGACCATTGCATTAGTTGGAGCCTGGTGCTATGTGAATGTGGCTGGGTGGCTTTTAGACAAGGAGCTATCAGAGGAGTTTTGGTCTGTCTGTGCCCTCTGTGTGAATAATTTTGGGTCTCACAGCAAAAAAATGTTTACTAAACCACATCCCATCTGGCTGTGGGAGGTGGTGAATGTGCTTGCGTTGCAGATTTTAACTCTGATTTGCAGACCTCACTAACATTCATTCAAAATCTGCTTTCCTAGCAGCATCATTTTGAGTGTGTTTTAATGAGCTGTACCTCCTGCAAAATAAGTAAAGTACCAGAAACATATTGCTTTCAGTTCCCTCCCTACCTTTTTTCCCCTCTCTCTTCTGGAAATCTTTGAAGAGACTCTCATCTTGTTATTGAAGGATTTTCCAAACAATAGAATACAAATGTCAGGGTTCCCTTCACCTGTTTCTATCTTTAAGCAACATGAGTGTCTTTACCCCAAATATCACTTTTCGTGGTGACCAAATGCTAATATCCACAAACAAAATTTTCAGAAGTCAGACTTACAGGCAAAAGTTTTAACCACCTGCAACTCACAGTAACTTTAGCAGGATTAGCAGTGACTGCTATTTCTCTACAGAAAATCACCTCTGTGCAGAGATCTGTGTTTGAGTTTGGAGGACCCACTGTAGGCCGCCAAGGGGAAAGTCATGGTTCTTTGCAGGGTCCCTTCAGCTTGTTACCATGTGACTGACAGTCCAACAAGTGAACCACAAAGGTTTACATAACCACTTGAACTTTTAATTACATCCCTGTACTGAATTAGCTTCCATAATTTTTGAATTTATCTGTCTCTTGTTTTAATTGACTGTGCTCCTTGATCTGGCTGTCATCACGCCAAATGTATTGTTAAATGGTTTTAATAACTTCCTGCATGTGCAGCAAGCAGTATCTAGCATATGTTAAGGGACACATGTCAATCATAATTGACTTACTCTTAAGTTTCATTGCTTTTGTGGGTTTAAATCAGATCCTTAATGATACTTGAAATCTTCTTTTGTGGTTACATTGTAGTGCTTTTTTGCTGAACCTTCAAGAACAATGTCCTTTCCTGGCGGGTGATACATCGAAACCACAAGTGCCAGAGGGGAAAAAACCTGCCACTGAAATGCGTGAAGATGTGAATGACAGACTGTTCACTTAACTTATACATTCAAAA